ATTCTAACTAAATATTCGTCGCATAGTAAAAAATTATTTTGACTCGATTCTAATTAAATATTCGTCGCATAATAAACAATTATTTTGACTCGATTCTAACTAAATATTCGTCGCATAATAAACAATTATTTTAATTCGATTCTAACTAAATATTCGTCGCATAGTAAACAATTATTTTAACTTGATTCTAACTAAATATTTGCATAGTAAACAATTATTTTGACTCGATTCTAACTAAATATTTGCATAGTAAACAATTATTTTAACTCGATTCTAACTAAATATTCGTCGCGTAGTAAACAATTATTTTGACTCGATTCTAAATATTCGTGGCGTAGTAAACAATTATTTTGACTCGATTCTAACTAAATATTCGTCGCGTAGTAAACAATTATNNNAACTTGATTCTAACTAAATATTCATTGCATAGTAAATAATTATTTTAATTCGATTCTAACTAAATATTCGTTGTATAGTAAACAATTATTTTGACTCGATTCTAACTAAATATTTGCGTAGTAAACAATTATTTTAACTCGTTTTTACCTAAATATTCATTGCGTAAACACTTATTTTGACTCGATTCTAACTAAATATTCGTTGTATAGTAAACAATTATTTTGACTCGATTCTAACTAAATATTTGCGTAGTAAACAATTATTTTAACTCGTTTTTAACTAAATATTCATTGCGTAAACAATTATTTTGACTCGATTCTAACTAAATATTGATCGTATAGTAAATTATTTTGACTCGATTCTAACTAAATATTCGTCGCATAGTAAACAATTATTTTGACTCGATTCTAACTAAATATTCGTCGCGTAGTAAACAATTATTCTGACTCGATTCTAAATATTCGTGGCATAGTAAACAATTATTTTGACTCGATTCTAACTAAATATTCTTCGTATAGTAAACAATTATTTTGACTCGATTCTTTTTTTGAAGGTAATTTGATTTGGAAGTTACGATGGAGAGTCACCAGAGATTCACCAAGAAAGAGGATTTAGTGTGATTTAATTTTTCTCTGGTCATCAAGAAGACCACGTTAAATCGAGTGTGATCGATCATCGATCATCGAATAAGTATAAACAAAAAGATAAATTTACAGTACGTGACTTGAAAAGAGTGCTTCGACGAGGTTTGTTTTTCTTCATTTCTGCTCTCTCCTTCGTTAGGTAATGGAATTACCCGAACGCAATGACACAGCGATTACATAATTGCGACCCTCTCGTTGACTCCTCTCGCGCACAGCCAGCTCCATTACTCTCTGTACCCCTCTTCCTTGTCCATCCTTCTTCCATCGTTCTCTCTTTCCTGCGTGCAACGCGGAGAGGATGGTCGATTATTCTCCAGAGACAAATGACACGGTCGACGAGAAGTAACGAGCGGCAACGAGACTCGTCAAACGTGTCGTTTCCCGGATCGTCCGCTTCGTTGAATGAAAGGGGAGGGGGGCAGAAAGGAAAGAACCGAACGTTCGTGGCGGTGACTCGTTAGATTTTCTCGTATCGATTGGAAATCGGAAACGGGAAGTTGCCTTAAGAAGTTGCCGATGGTGACTTGCGCTAAGGGTGGCGGTGCAGAATAATCACTCGCTTGATTTCCCTCCATCAGGATTCGTTCGTTTAATCATGTTTTAAAAAGATTTTTAAAAATACTCGTTGGATATGACTGTCACGTGTAAGCAAATATCTCGTGTACATATTATTATATATTATATATATTATTATTTATTATATTATTTATTATATATTATTTTGTCGAATTTCAAAAATTTCATTTTTATTAATAATAAATTTTAAATGTATCAATAATCCGTAATATGCTTTGTTCCTGATTATAAAATTATCGTCTAATTTGTAAATAGAGACGTTGTACGAGTTCGATCAGATTGATCTTTTTGAAATGATATGAACGTTTCAAGATCCCGTGGAGCCAGAAGGATCGACAGCTGTTAGCCGAAGGCTGTTGGCGACGTAATTGGGTCGATAAGTCGAAGACGAGGTCCGGGTGTGTCTTATCGCACCGTGACATCGGGAAGTCGGTGAAACGTCCAGGTTGCCAGGTTATCCACGCGAGCGCGTGGACATTCGTCTCGAATACGTCGATACATCAATGCCCGTTAAATTGTCTTGAAACGATTTATATAGGCCGGCGGCGACCTTGCGAATTCCCACACGCGCGCGAATGAAATGAACGGCCGGATTGGAGCTGTTCCAGAAATGCAACAAGAATTAAGTGTTCCGATCGAAACTATCGCTCTTTGTACGTACAATTTGTTGCAAAAGTAAAACTAGATTAGAAGTATTCGATACTCTTTTAAAGGTAAAAGTAAGAAGATATGTTATTAAGCAATTTTTAAGTTCGCCTTTAAGCGAAGTAAAGATAGAATATTAAAATAACTTTATCTTCGTTATAATTATTTTGGTATATTTTTTTAATTACGAATTCTATTTATTTATTTATTTTTAGTAAAAATAATATTAGGATTTGAATAAAGGGATATTAGATTGAATAAAATAAATTAGAAGAATTAATTTGAATTTTATTTAATAAACAAAAGAAAAATAAAATATGAGAATTAATATTATAAAAATATATTTATTGGATAAGGTAAACCAAAATCTTTTAAACGAATAAACAATTAAAAAAAAAAAATAATAAAAAACAATTCCATCTTCTTTCCAAAAAGAAGGTTAAAATTTTCCAAGACCAACAGCTTATCACGGATTCTCCCTGCCTGCCTTCCCTTCATTCGCCAGCCCCTAGCTTTTCATCAAAACCTCTGATCCGCTTAAAACAATTGATACCTCGTCACCCTCCGCTAATCTCCGACGAAAATCTCGAAAAAGGAAGGGAAAAAAGAAAGAAGAAAAGAAAGAAGAGAAAAAAGAAACATCCACCCGGTCACAAGTTCTTCTCCACCCCTTTCCACCGGTGCCATCCGGTGGGATGAAAACGGCTGCGGTGGAATCCAGACTTCCCCTCGATCGTTCTCTCCCCAGGGTGCACCGAGCGTAAAGCTTTATGCTCGCATTTCCATCATACGCGCAGGCAGCGCCGATTACGACGTATCGCCCGTTAAAAATGCATGCAATTAGCCCGCTCCGCTTCTTAACCCCGCGCGCCCTCCAACCCC